AGGAACATACATAAAAAGAATAAAACTGTATACAGCAAACCAGTAGCCAACATCAAACAAAATGGAGAGAAACTCTGGCAATTCCCCTAAAATCAGGAACAAGACAAGGCTGTCCACTCTCTTCATACCTTCATACTAACCTTGACACATTGAGTTGAGGCAGGACCAAGCCCCTACCCACTGCATCAAGACTGAGCTAACCATAGGGAATAGGTTCTAAAAAGTCAGCTCATGCACCAGGGATAGATCCTCATCCCACTGCCAGGGGCCCCTCAAACAGAGCAAGATAGACAATTGCCATCCATATGCAGAAGCCCAGAAAGGCTCAGTAACAAGGAAGGCACTGGGTGGGATGCATGGATTACCCTGGTAAGGGGAAATAGAATCATTTTTTACTTTTAAATGGAATAAAAATTGATAAAAGTATATTAGAGTTTTACAAATCTAGTCTTTGGCATCAAAGAAAAGCAAACTGATATGAAAAGAATGATTAAAGCTCATGGAAAAGTTTTCAAATATAATAGAAATAGTTTCATTTTTTATAATGAATATGTGTGATTCAGACAAATAGTCATCCCAGTTATTTACACCTTCACTTTTTCTGAGTGTTACATGAAAGCTTTCAGTCTAACATTACAGGCTTTCCTAACAGCAGGGCAAAACTTTGAGAAATGTGGAAGCATGATTAGAAAACAATGTTTTTCTCAAATGTCAGATAACAATTGATTAAATTATCTTCATGAATATGAGATTATGCATACAAAATAAACAAATTTGAATGTAGATAAAATTACCCATAATGTGGAAGTGAAATCTATGTTGTTCATGAACTCTAATTATTTAATCTCACACATGGAGACTTTTGTGGAGTAACTTTGATGACTCTTATTAAAAACAGCTCACGAACTATTACTATCCAAACTTGCCAGTTTTTATTGTAACTTAAAAAACCCTTCAAATCTATGAAATTGATTTTCTCTCACTGCAAGCTATTGAAACTTGATTTTATGTTGAATTAAGAGAAATTGTACTCAGTTATGGAAATTATATTAAATTAGCAAGCATGATGTGTTCTTCATGATTCTCTGTCATTCTTTACCTCTCTAATAATAAAGTCTTCCAGTCAACCAATAATGGATTCCTTTTTATACTAACATTTAACATTTTGTCTTTTCTTAGAAATTTTTCTAAGGATAACATCACTTAAAATGTAATCATTGCAACAAATATTTATTTTATTTCCTTGAACTATTAATTTTTCAAGAGCAGTTCACAGACTATTGCTTCATGGGCCATAAATAAGTTCCTAATCTGCCACTTCAGCACATCTCTAATTGTAATGCACTGTGTAATGTTACAGGCCATTATACAGATGTTTCTGTTATTGAAAGGTGGCCCACAGTGACATTGAAATGTGTGCTTGCATTAGAAGACTGCGAACTCAATCACTAGTCTTAATGTGATAGTTGTTTTCCTGACCAAAGAAACCCTAATTTGTTTAGCTTTGTTTGTCCTTTAAGTACACTGTTACATTTTAGTCCTTGAGTATAGCAAGTGAAAGAAAGTCATGGTATGGTATTTCATAATGGTTTAATACCTTGGTATTTACCTTTTCTTAGGATATTTTATAACTTATGTCTTGCACATTGTTTAAGTGCTACTCATTACATTACATTACACTACATTATGGTGAAAATATGTCCCTCTGTTTGTTAATGTCGTCAAGCTAGAATTGGATTCTGTTGGTTTATACAGTCAGTGTATATCATGATCCTCTTAATGAGAATTTCTGTTTAAATAAGGGCCACCAACTGAAAGTTACAAGAAGTTTCTCATATTCTTTACATTTTAGCCTTTTTGTTTTTTAAAACCAGGGGCAAAGTGTATCTATTTGTCTATTAATAGGGTCAATTATGTTATAAAGCATAATCTAATCATAGGAGTAACACCCTGGACAGAAGTATGCCTAAAGAAATTAAGAGGCCTGCCTATCACAATGTGAAAGTCCATGGGGATCTATTGTACAGCAGTTTCCTTTTAGAGAAAACCTCTTCAAAGAAGTTCTTCAAAGAACAGGATGTCCTAAAGCAATATTTCTCAACCTTTCTAATGCAGCTACCTTTTAATATAGTCCCTTATGTCGCTGTGCCCTCCAACCATAAAATTATTTCATTGCTACTTAGTAACAGTAATTTTGCTACTATTATGAATCATAATGTAAATATCTGTGTTTCCTAATGGTTTTAACCAACCCCTGTGAAACGCTTATTGGACCTCCAAACGAATCTCAACACAGGTTGAGAACCACTGTTCTAAAGGGAGTTGAAACATTTCATTCAGTGGGAAAATTTGCTAAGCTTAGGAAGGGTCTGCTCTGATGTCTTAGGCTCCTGTTGACATTGAAGGTTGTATCATTGCACTAGATCTGGGCCACCCCTTGGGGCCATGTGGGTGTCTAAGGATCATATTGCCACTGGTCCAATCCAACCTGAGTGACCCACACTGCCCACTAGAGCCATGATGACATCTGGGCACAGGTTGTTGCAAAGGACCATGTCTGGGTCCATAGACTAACCACAACTGAGGTCAAAGTTGACATCCATGGCCTATAAAGTCATCAAGGGTTGATGCCAGGAGTCTGAGCCATAACCTAGGGCCACAATACTGTGATCTGTGTTGATGTACAGGGCTCCTGTTAGCACAAAAATCAGTGAGGACAGGGCTGCACAGATTTGGCCCTGCCCCTTATTAGCTGCAACACTAGGAAGAACTGGCCTATCCTTTTACCAACTGCAACATCGAGGTCATCGAGGTGCAGAGAGAGTAGACGCTGCACCACACCTGGGCAGCACAGTAGAGCTGTCCCTGTTGGTAGTGGTGCAGGTGAGTTGGCCCTGAAGACATGAAAGTGGGAGACCTAACCCCACTGTCTGTTATGTGGTAGCATGGGCAAGGGAAAAATACCCTGCCTTGCCCCTCACCCCTAGCTCTTCACCCCTCAACCTTTGTTTCTCACCCCTTGACACCTACTGCAGACAAGAAAAGCTGGACCCCAGGTTACATGAGTTGCAGAGATGATCTGGCCCCTCACTGGCTACAGCACTCAGGAGAGTTGGTCCTGCACCTCACCAGGACAGCACAGTAGACCTGACTCTGTTGACAAGAGGTGCAGGTGATTAGACCCTCGAACATACATGGGAGATCTGGCCCTACCCATAATTTGCTATACAGTGGAATGAATGAGGAAGAGATGGCCTTCCCTTTTCCCTGTTCCTTGTTGCTTATGGCAGGTGGGGAAAGCTGTTCCTGAGGTCATGAGAGGCCAGAACTGCCCCTGCCCCTCACTGGCAGCAGCACTTGAGAGAACAGGCCCTGTACCTCACCCAGGCCACAGGATAGAGCAAACCCGTTTGGCAGGGGCATAGGTGAGCTGGCCCTGTGGGCATGAGAGCAGGAGAGCAGCCCTTGCTCCCTCCCTTGTATGTCCTGCAGTGGTATGGGGAAGGGAAATATGTCCTGCCTCTACCCCTTGCCAGCTGTAGCAGGACATGAGAATGAAAGACCCTGTCCCTGCCCCTCAACAACTGCAGAAATTTAGAGAACAAATCCTACACCTTAACTGGGCAAAACATTAGAGCTGGGTCTGATGGTATGAGGACAGATGAGCTGGGCCCCAGAGCATGAGAGCAGGAAAGCCTGGCCCTGTTCCTTGCTGCCTACTGCACTGGGTGAGATAGCCAGGGCAGTAATGGGAGAGCTCACTCAGATGGTGATAATGAGGGAAAGATGGCCGCTTAGCAATTCAGCTATCACCTAGGACCAGAACCAGGGCTATGATTTGGCCCACCTCAACATCCAACTGGTCTATGAACTGCTAGAGCATATGAAGGGGCTAGACCTGCAGATGCAAACCTACAGGATCTTCATGATACAAAGCAACAATAGGATATCCAAGAAGACCCCAGTGAGGAAACATTATCTATAGTGTAGCAGCAGCCGGAGACCTTGAATAAGACCAATGACTCATTGCAATGAACTCTTACAAACAAAGATATATGAACTAAAGAGTATACTGTGTCACTAACTGGGCCCTACTCTATAGCTTCCATGCTGAGATTTGTTGCTTGTGTTTGGTTGGTTGCATTTGTTTTTTGTTTGTGATTTGCTTTTTGGTTTTACTTTTAAATTTTGTTTTGTTTAGGGGAGTAGGTTGCAAAGGTGAAGGGCAAACGCAAGGGGATAGGGAGATGAGTAAGATGGGATGTATGGTGTGAAATTCACAAAGAATCAATAAAAAGCTTTTTAAAAAGAAATAAAAGAATACAGGTGACTATTTTTATATGAAAAAATGTTTCAAATATTTTCCTACCAGGAAAATGTAAATCAAGACTGTAGTGGGTATCATCTTACCCTAGTAAGAATTGCCATTGCTGAAAGATTAAGTACAGCAAGTGTTAGCAAACATATATATAAAATGTATGTGTAGGTCCATAGGCAATGAAATCAGTATATTGTGGGCATATTTGTATCACCATGTTCATTGTAGCACTGTTTACAATAGCCAAAAATGGAAATGATCTTCCCACTGGCAAATTTGTTTCATCTGATTACATTTTATTTTGCCAAAAGAAAGAAAGACATTAAGGGAAGAAAGACAGATAGAAAGAAAGAAAGAGGGAGAGAGAGAGAAAGAAGGAGGGAGGGAGGAAAGGAGGGAGAGAGAAAGGGAGGGAAGTAGGAAGGAAGGTTGACCTTAGAAGTTCCAGAAATAAAATCAACCAAATTATTTTTTACTATGATCAGATAATCTCAAAAGACATTAACATGTCCCAATAGAACAAAAAATTCTGAAAGAAATAAGGAAATCAATATAATATGTGAAAACAGAATTCAATAAAGTGATAAAATTGTTGAGAAAAAATGAACTGATAAGATGTTGGAAATGAACAACTCATAAGCCTAATAAAAACAGCAGTGAAATTAGGTGGAAATGCACATACCTAGGGAAATAATCTGTCCATCCAATTACAGAAGTCTATATAACTCCAAGTATCTGTGATGAGAAAATAAAATGCTCATGAGCATATAAAGTATTTACAACACAGAATTAAAGAAGTGTAAATAAAACTGTAAGTGAGAAAGACAAGGCACTAATGGAAGCAGACCAATCAGAACAACACCCAATTACTCAACAAAAAGTTTTAAAGTCAGAAGCACTATGAAAGGTATATCCTAAGACCTAAAAGTTTTCATAAAATATATGTATATGTAAGGCATTCTAAACAAAATAGCCAATTAACAGGGGAGACAGAGCAACAGATGGACATCTCTTGTCACCACATGAAGCTGTCAGTACTGTCAGTGGGTTACAGATAACAAAGTGGTTGCTCAAAGGGGTCCAATAGGAACCCCCCCTTGAAAAACTCAGGTTATTGATAGACCTTTGATGCTCTCCATAAAATGACAGTAAAGCTCTATTGTAGTGAGATATCCACTCTGCCCACACCTGCAGTGCTGACCATGCCCAAACGGGCATAGTCACAGGAGAGGACTTGACTGGGAGTGAATTTAGGTCTGGGGTCAGGGCAGGTGGCCATCTCTTGCATTGGGTCGGGTCACAGAGAGCAGCCAGTGCAGTCCTTAGAGCGGGAACCTGCAGCAGCCCTCTGTGTCTTATGTAAGAGACTTCTGTTGAGAGAAGCCTTCCCGCCAGCCTGGTTCCAGAGCTGCATCAGTCCCAAATGAACACACAGAAGGCTATATTAATTATGAAGCTGTTGGCCTTTTTTGTTTCTTACTGGCTATCTCTAACTTAAGTATTTACTCCATAATTGTTAATCTAAGTATTTCTCTTACCGGAGAAAAGGGTCCTGACGTCTTACCCCTATGGCAGCTACATGATGACTCCCTGTGTTTCTCCTTCCCAGAGCCCTCCTCGACTCCTAGTCACACCTATCTTGCTTCCGCATTGGCCAACAGTGCTTTATTGACATATAAACAGCACTTGCCCATCAGACTGCTCCCTGAAATAAATTATATTTTACCTATATTTGAACCTAGTCCCGTGTATCATTTATCCAGGCCTCAGCACTCTTTCTGAAGATAGCAATGACACAACTCATTGGACGCACAGAAAACAAGCCAGTGCCTATTGAAAGCCTTGGGATACAGTCTATGGGATACAATAATGACATTCTTAAGAGGAATGTTTGTGGTGGTAAATGACTACACAAAAAACAGAAATAAATAAATGAGATTTCAGATGATGCACATTAAGTCACTGGAAGAACAAAAAGTAAACCAAACCCTGAACCAATAGATGGGAAGAAATAATCAAAATAGGGCTATAATTAATGAAATACAAACAATCAGTGAAATGAAGAGTTGGTCCTTTGAAAAAATAAACAAGATTGAGAAGTTTTAATCAAATTAATCAAAAGATAAACAAATGAAAAGGGAGAAACTAACACACACTAATGGAATTCCAAAAACCATAAGAACCTACTTTAAAACCACTATTCCACTAAATTCAAAATTTAAAGAAATAAATTTATTTCTATGTGTAAACAACATACAAAAATTAAGGAAATACTTTAAGTAGATCCATAACCATCACTGGAATTCAGTAAGAGAAATGTTCCTTGCCTTAAAAAATATAATCCCAGGAACAGATAAATTCACAAGCATAATTCTATCAGAACTTTCAAGAACTAACCCTGTTATGACTTTAATTATTCCATAAAATAGGAAATAAATTAAGATTTTTTTCAACTATTTTTACTTTCAGTTTTACCCTGGTATCAAAATCAAATAAGGACACAACAAGAAGGAAAAAAATTACAAACCAGTCTCTTTGGTGAATATAAATGCCAGCACTGTCAATAAAATAGCATCAGGAAGAATTCAAGAGTCCTTAAAAAAGATTACTTATCACAGCTAAATTGGCTCATACATTTTAAATCAATAAATGTTATTTATTTATCCATTTGCCTCTGCCAAAATCTCACATTACTTATTCATAAAAGTCATGGAAAATTTCTTGTTGAGCAACCATCACCATAATAAATGCTGTGTCCAACAAACACATGTAAAATGAAGAAACTCTGAAAGTTCCCATGGACAAGAGAGGAGATGATGCTGACATCATCAGGGTCCTCAATGACAGCAATAGCCAGAGTCTGAAAGCAACAGCTTATCCCATGTCCTCTTCAGACTTACAATGTAGATATCATCACTTTTCCTTTTGCAGATGTACTGTTCTATCTGAAAGTCAAGGTTGGTGCCATCTAAATGGGTTCCTCAGGCAGGAGTTTGAGAACATCCTTCTCCTTCGTCTGCAGGACATCAAGGGTTCCAGACATTGTGTAAGTTTCCCTTTAAGTTATGACAGGAATCAAGAACAACAACCTATGGACCCATCCCAGGGCAGTCCGGAAAGCATATCATAATATTCTTAACTCATTTTTTAAGAGAGCTAAATTAGCTAACATGGCAAAGGCCAAACTGCTAAATTATCTATGCCCACCTCAAACTTCTGTGAAACAAAAGAAAATCAGAAACATAGTCAAACAATTGCCACTTGAAATTCATTTCTAATGTGATTATGCCCCTGTAATCTGTTACCAGGAAGAATTTACCAATAGTGGGGTAAATTATTTCTAATACATTCACAAGACTAAATATTTGTCATTTTCTCTTTTACTATTGTTCTTTAGTGGGGCAAACAAGCACTCTCCAGGCAATCACAGAAATAGTGTGGATAGTGTAAAGAGGACAGCAAACAAATTAATGTCATCTCAACCTTGTTCTTCAAAACAAATACTGGTATGGAATGGAGAGATAAGTAGCTTAGAAACAAAAGAGAATTTATATATTTAAAAAATTTTTAATCCATATATGATATATTTTGAAATATATAATACATATGAACATATCTATGTAATACAAATATGTGCAACATATATGTTATATATATATATATATATATATATTACAAGTCACTCACCTGATAAAATCTTTATATAGCAATCTTATATGATACTTGCTCACACTTTAACTGTCCCTAAACCATGTTTTCCTATCATGCCTATGATCCTTTACTTAAGCACTTTCATCTATCACAACATACCTACAAGAAGTAACTGGATCACACCTTCCCATCTCTTGGGGGTCATCATCCTGCCACTCCTTGCAAAGAAAGAGATGTTTGTTCATTCATTGATAGTGTGGTCACATGACCTCTAACACCCAATAATCACTCCAGCTTCACACAATCAGTACAAGAATTATTTTCTCATTGATGATGCAATATAAAGTACCTGAGACTTGGGGAAAATTCCTTTTAAACATGATTTTAAAGGTTCTATTTCTTAAATGATTTAATATTAGAATATGCCCATCTTCAGACTAATCTTTGACCTAAATTAAGAGTATCACTACTTGAACGTTACAGATAAGAAAGAGTAAACTGGATTGTTTTTTATCATTATTACACTATGAACACAAGAAGTAGAATCTCATGTTTTACTTTTCCTAACTTAAAATATATCTACTTCAACATTAATTGTAACCTTGTAGGTGGACTTTCTATCTTCAATCTTTGGCTCTTTATTGATTTCTTCCTGTCATTATAGAACTTCTCTCACCAAAAGCAGCATTAAACTACCCTCCAAACAGATTGCGTCCTAGCCACCTGCCATCTCCCTTCAGTATATGGTTCTTTGAAAGTTTTTTATAGTCATTTCTTGGCCTCCTGGTTGTTGAATCTATTACACTTCATCAACCACGTTACCAAGATAATTGGCCAATAAAATACAGTTTTCTCCATCATTTCTATGTCATTTGGTATTGTTTTTCTCTATCATATTAGGCCTAAGCATCTGTATCCCCTTGGCCACCATTCTTTGTTAGCTGAAATTTCTTCACAGTGGCCACTTCTCCCTTTAACTATGCATTAATGTTACTTGAGGATCTGTCACAAGTTCTAAGGGCATGGATTATTCACTTGTTTCCAAGTGTTGGTGCTGTTTGAGAGGCCCAAGAAACTAGAATGTTGAACCTAGCTAGAGACAACAGGACAACGGGGGCAGATCTTGGGGGCATCTTGTTCCTGCCTTATGCTCATTTTCTCTCTGCTTCCTGTCTGTCTTTATGTTTCTGACACTTACATCTACTGCCATGATATTCTATCTAACAGTGGCTCAGATACATGGAGCCAAATGACAATGGACCTTCTAAAACTGAGAACCAAAATAAATTCTTCCCCCCGAAGTTGTTTTTGTGAGGTAGTTTGTCAAAACAATGTGAAAATTAGCTAATAAGATACAAATAACTATACTTCTGTGAATGGTTGGTGACTAGCACTGGGTTGTAGTCAGAGTTTCTGTTCAGCCTGATTCCACCGCACTTCAGCCCCAAATAAACACATAGAGACTTATATTAATTATAAACAGTTTGGTCAATGACTCAGGTTTCTTACTGGCTATCTCTCTCTTAATTATTAACCCATAACTATTAATCTATGTATTTCTACATGACCTTATCTTACCAGAGAACACATGGCACATCCTGTCTTCCTGCTAGCTACATAGTGTCTCCCTGTGGCTTTTTTCTGCTCTGTTATTCCCAGAATTCTCCTTTTCTGGTAGCCCTGCCTATACTTCCTTCCTGGCTACTGGCCTCTCAGTATTTTATTCATGAACCAATAAGAGGAACATATATACAGCAGGACATCCCCCATCACTATACCAGTTGTCACCAGGAGACATTCCTGAATTTGGTTAGTGATCGTCCCAGAAATGAAGCAGAGAGTGATTGGAGTGGACCCAGCGGCAGTAATACCCTTCAGCATTGCCTACCAACAGTAGCTTTTCTGGGGTGCGTATTCTTCAGATTTATGGTGTAGATTTTATCACTTTCTATATTGCTATTCTGGAAATCAGAGTTGATACCACTTCAGTGGGTGTCTGCTGCAAGGGACTGATATTCTCTTCCTTAATCTGAAGGACATCAAAACCTCTAACCATCATGTGAAAGTTTCCTCATAAACTATGGGAATAATGAATGACACCATATGGATCCATCTTGTGTGGGGTGGGAAAGCTAACTTTTAAAACAAATGTATTGTTACTTGTGTTCTCTCAATATATATTTATAGATCATGCACTTTGTCTAGCAACAAAAAATTTCCAAGTATTATATTCAAATTGGCTTTACTTGTAGCAGAGGCAAAACTGAATTTTCATGGAGAAATAATGATAATATTAGTAACAAATGTGACACTCAAATCATATTAGCTGAAATAAGTTGATATACTTATATATACTGTAAGAAAGACTTAAAAGGTAATGATTTAAAATTAATTAGTACTCAAATTTTTAGTTATAGAAAACCAGTGTGACTGCAGTGCATTTTAGATATTTTGTAAGAAGAGCTTGTGTTTTCACTACTTTCTTCAGAAAGCTGATATTTCTATCATTATTAATGTCTTTGATAGACATATCATGATCAGCAGTTTTTATTTGTAATACTACAAAATTGAAAAGAGAAAATGGTATCTGAATTGCTTGTGATATCTTTATGTATGCATGTACGAATCATTAAGTAGTTGCCACTCTCTCTTCCCAGTGCTGATTTATTTACTATTCATTTATTTATTCTTCTCTGCATAATGAGCCCCTAGAGTATGTTTCATTATAGGAGAAAGCTCACATTCCTCACTTGCGGTCAGTGGTATGTGGTTAATTTGAAATCACTTAAACTATTAAATCTGTCAAGTGCAGTGATTTTATTTTCAATTCACATCAGTGTTTTAGTATGCATTTTCACTACTGGGTCAAACTGACAAATTAATTTAGGAGCATTCTCTGGGAATACTCTTCATTGCTGTCATTATTTGCAGGCCACTGTTTGAAATTAATACCTACCTATTAAAGTTGACTGCCAAAGATATCACACTTAACATATACAATAATGTATAGATTAAAATTGGTGCTATTTTCACAACTCCTATATTTTGAGAACAGTCAGTTACACAAAATGCTTTTGAAAATTCGACTCTAAAAGTAGCAAGATGCTGAAAGAGACCCTTAGCATCTTGTAGCAACAAGCCTGAAAATAGCCTGGTGAGGTTTTGTTTTTGTTTTGTTTTTGTTTCTTTTTGTATTGTTTAGTTCTGTTCTTATTCATACCCTGTGTTTCAAGGTGTGTGTGTGTGTGTGTGTGTGTGTGTGTGTGTGTGTGAATCATGGGAGAGCAGAATGAAGGTAAGAGACTCAGAACCTAGGTACTTCATGGCATAGTTATTTAAATGTAAATATTGGATTCTAAAAAAAATATTCTAGATTAAGCTTAAGAAATGCAAGAACAATGTGAAAACACTAACAGTTTAGTCTATCCCTTTAACTAATTTATAGCCATGATAATAAAAACTAAATACAATCTAAATAAGCATCTAGTAAAAGGACTGCCATAATAGTACATTATTGCTAAATAGTATTTTGCAGGTTATAGTCATGCCTTCATTATTGAATAAGACTGCCAGCTGCTAAGCTTTCAGCAGTCAACTAACTACATTCCTGAGACGTGTGAAAATGTGACAAAATACTGTTTAATAATACCTTGGTAGCAAAGATAGAGAATTTCAACAACAGGAAACATTGGTCATGCAACAAACTTTTCATTTACTTGGAACGTAAGAATTATACAATCTAAAAATAATTCTTTGACATGATCCCTCTTTTAGTTAAAATGAGTACATAAAATAATGAATTATTTCTATTCATGAACAACCAGGAAATTTCATATTTTAAGTACCTGTACAAGATCTGATAGCCAGAAACAAATCAAAGTTAGAAAGGATTCAGACTTGAACTGTAAACACAAACTGCTGTTTTTCTACCAGTAGAGTTAGTGCAATAAGACAATGTGTGTATGGAGGGTCAATACCCATTTCAGCCAGGAAGAACAAGGATGAGATATGGACTGATGCTAAGATATTTTAGTTTAATTTTATAATTTCTACATTATTTTCCTTATTTCCATTCCCCCATTCTCTTATTTCTTCATTATGGGTCCTATAGCGTTACTAATCAGAAAGTGCTAGTTATTCTAACAATGTCCTAACTCCTTTGTTTCCTAACATTAGAGGAGATACACCTGAGAAATCAAATGTAAAGATTCAAACAAGACAAAATGCCAGCTCTGAAGCAAAGGACCACCCCCACCAAGAAGCTATTAAAGACAGACACCAGAAAAAAAAGGACAAATCAGTTTTCTTCAGTGGAGTGCTTTTTGCTTCATGTTGGTATTTTTTGTCTTATTGATATTCTTTATTTTAGTTTGTCTGTTTTTATTTTTATTTTGGATTTTTGTTGTTTTACTTTTTTTCAAAGAGTGACAGAAAGAGATAAAATACTAAGTTGGGTTAAAAGAAAATCAAAACATATTCTATGAAAAATAAATTTAATAAATTTTTAAAGAGCAGAATAATATACAAATAGTTCCATCAAAGTTATTTTATAAGAATAAGTTTCTTAGAGCTCATCATAGCGTATTTTATTTACTCTACTAAAATTTCCATTATCTTTAAGCATGTGTAACTCTATTAGGAGAAGTTTTGAAGAGCAGTTTCTAAGCCACTTGAGAAAAGCATGTTTATTACCTTTTACCATACCACATATGTTCTATAACCTTTTTCAGCACATTGAGCTTCAAATGACTACTGGTTAATCCTCATTGTCCTACATATTCATTTAGTCTAGTCAACATTCAACAACAAACCACTTAACATCAGGCAGTTCCAAATAAAGTATTTTTCCAAGCCATGTAAACTCATCTAGAAAATGCTTTAAGAATTACATCCTCAGCCAGGCAGTGGTGGCGAATTCCTTTAATCCCAGCACTCGGGAGGCAGAGGCAGGCAGATCTCTGTGAGTTCGAGGCCAGGCTGGACCGACAGCCTCCAAAACAATACAGAGAAACCCTGTCTCATAAATACCAAAAAAAAAAAAAAAAAGAAAAAAGAAAAAAGAAAAAAAAGAAATACAACCCCAGAACAAATGGATAACCTCCCAGAGGAACAGAGATTCAGGAAAAAGATTCTGTGATTTCAAAGTGTGTGTGTGTGTGTGTGTGTGTGTGTGTGTGTGTGTGTGTGTATGGAATGAGCTGTGCAATCACATTCTAGA